GCAGGTGCAGACATGTCTTGTATTGGTGAGAAAGTCACCAGGCCACAATTCCCGTGTCTTCTACTGGAGAAAGAGAGGGGGTCACCAGAGCACAATTCCCGTGTCTTGTACTGGAGAGAGGGGGTCACCAGACCACAATTCCCGTGTCTTGTACTGGAGAGAGGGGGTCACCAGACCACAATTCCCGTGTCTTGTACTGGAGAGAGGGGGTCACCAGACCACAATTCCCGTGTCTTGTAATGGAGAGAGGGGGTCACCAGAGCACAATTCCAGTGTCTTGTAATGGAGAGAGAGGGGGTCACCAGACCACAATTCCCGTGTCTTGTACTGGAGAGAGAGGGGGTCACCAGACCACAATTCCCGTGTCTTGTACTGGAGAGAGGGGGTCACCAGAGCACAATTCCCGTGTCTTGTACTGGAGAGAGGGGGTCACCAGACCACAATTCCCGTGTCTTGTAATGGAGAGAGGGGGTCACCAGAGCACAATTCCCGTATCTTGTAATGGAGAGAGGGGGTCACCAGAGCACAATTCCCGTGTCTTGTAATGGAGAGAGGGGGTCACCAGACCACAATTCCTGTGTCTTGTAATGGAGAGAGGGGGTCACCAGACCACAATTCCCGTGTCTTGTACTGGAGAGAGAGGGGGTCACCAGAGCACAATTCCCGTGTCTTGTACTGGAGAGAGAGGGGGTCACCAGAGCACAATTCCCGTGTCTTGTACTGGAGAGAGAGGGGGTCACCAGGGCACAATTCCCGTGTCTTGTACTGGAGAGAGAGGGGGTCACCAGAGCACAATTCCCGTGTCTTGTACTGGAGAGAGAGGGGGTCACCAGGGCACAATTCCCGTGTCTTGTACTGGAGAGAGGGGGGGTTACCAGGCCACAATACCCGTGTCTTGTAATGGAGAGAGGGGGTCACCAGGGCACAAATCCCGTGTCTTGTACTGGAGAGATGGGGTCACCAGGCCACGATTCTCGTGTCTTGTACTTGTAAGAGGGGCGCCATAATTCCCTATAGAGATTCTGCATGTACTGAGCACTTTGCAGGATCACCGGGAACAGACCCAGGAGACCCAATTCTTCCCCACTCCGTCATAACCCTTCTCTGATCCCACACTATCAGGGTTGATGGAGATCCCTGAACACTGTATACAGAACGAGTCCGACAACAAAGCGCAGTGGAGTGCCCCTTTAATGTGCTGCTATCACCGCCAGCTATTAGAATAAAGTAGAACTCCAAGCCAAAGTTCTGCAGGAGGGTGCGTTTTCATCTACTTCCTGGGGTCCTTCTGGAAGAAGACACTTCTGTATCCACCAAAGTACCCCCAGGATCCTGCCTGAAAACTATTACCCCTCATGCTGGTGACAACACAGACGCCGGTATTCCCCAGAGCACCGTCGCCCCCTCAGTAGTAGCCAAGCACAAAGTCCCGTTCACACAACATTAAAGCAGGGAGACCGTGTGATGGGAGGAGCCCGAGACCTCCACTATTAGATTGGCCATGAAGAGTCATGTGACCGCTATGAAATATAGGGGGTACACACATATAAGGTGAGGGATGTGGTTTTATTGGGGGGGTACGAAGGGATACAAATATATATAAGGTGGGGTATGCAGATAATAGAGGGGTTTATGGACATGTACTCATATATATGGTGGGGTATGGAAGTATATCAGGAATGTACAATGAGGTATATAGTGGTGGGGGGGGGGGGGGTAGAGCAAAGTACATAGAAGTATGGAGGGTATATAAATGTATGGGGGTGTACAGCAGGGCAATATAGATATATGGAAGAGGGCATAGAGACTTGCGTGCGAGCGATGTACATGGGGGGCGCAGAGCGATATTTATGGAGGGGGCGTATAGCGTGTATATACGGGGGGGGGCGTACAGCGATATATACAAAGGGGGCGTATAGCGATGTATATATATACGAAGGGGCCGTATAGCGATGTATATATATATATGGGGGGTGTATAGCGATGTATATATATATATGGGGGGTGTATAGCGATGTATGTATATATGGGGGGTGTATAGCGATGTATGTATATATGGGGGGTGTATAGCGATGTATGTATATATGGGGGGTGTATAGCGATGTATGTATATATATATATATATATATATATATATATATATATATATATATATATATATATATATATATATATATATATATATATATATATGGGGGGTGTATAGCAATGTATATATATATGGGGGGGGTATTTTTATAGTGTATATATATATATATATATATATGGGGGGGTGTATAGTGATATATATATATATATATATGGGGGGTGTATAGTGATATATATATATATATATATGGGGGGTGTATAGTGATATATATATTTATATATATATATTATATATATGGGGGGTGTATAGTGATATATATATATATATATATATTATATATATGGGGGGTGTATAGTGTGATATATATATATATATATATATATATATATATTATATATTATATATATATATATATATATATGGGGGGTTTTATAGTGATATATATATATATATGGGGGGTGTATAGTGATATATATATATTTTTTTATATATGGGGGGTGTATAGTGATATATATATATTATGGGGGGTATTGATATATATTTATATATATATTATGGGGGGTTTTAGTGATATATATATATATATATATATTGGGGGGGTTTTTTTTTATATATATATTTATTTTTATTTTATTTTTTATGGGGGGTTTATAGTGATATTATATTTTATTTTTATATTTTTTTGGGGGGGTGTTTAGTGATATATATTTATATATATTTTTTTTATATTTTGATTATATATATTTTATATATATATATGGTATATTGTATAGTTATATTTTTATATTTTTTTTAGTGATATTATATATATATATATTTTTTTTTTTTTTTTATAGTGATATTTATTTTTTATATAGTTTGGGGGGTGTTAGTGATATATATTATTTTATTTTTGTTTTTTTTGATATATTTATTTTTTTTTTTTATTGTTTTTTTTTTTTATTTTTTTTGTTTTATTTTTTATATTATTTTATTTAGGGGGTTTATAGTATATATTATTTTTATATTTTATATTTATTTATATATATATTTTATGGGGGTATTTATATATATATATATGGGGGGTTTTTTTTTTATTATTATATTTTTTTTTTTTTTTTTTTTTTTATTTATATTTTTTTATATTTTTTTTTTTAGTATTTTTTTTTTTTATATATTTTTTTTTTTATTTTATTTTATTTTTATATATTTATTTATATTATATATTTATTTATTTTTTTTTTTGTTTATTTTATATATTTATATATATATTTATTTTTTTTTTTGATATATTTTTATTATATTTTTTTTTTTTTAGTTTTTTATTATATTTTTTTTTTATTTTTTTTTATTATATATATTTATTTTTTGTTTTTATATATTTTATTTTTTTTTTATTTTATATTTTATATTTATTTTTTTTTTTATTGATATTTTTTATATTTTTTATATTTATATATTTTTTGATTATTATTTTTTATTTATTTATATTTAATTTTTTTTATGTTATATTATATATTTATATATGGGGGGTTATAGTGATATTATATATATATATTTTTATATTTGGGGTTTGATTTTGTTATATATTTATATATATTTTTTATATTTTATTTTTTTTTTTATTTTTTTTTTTGGGGTTGATTTTAATATATATATTTTTTATAAAAATTTTTTTTGGTTATATATATTTTTTATGTTTTTTTTTTATTGATATTTTTTTTATTTTTGTATATATTTATTTTTTTTATTTTTTATTTTTATTTATATATTATATATTTATATGGTGTTTATTATTTTAATATATATATTTTATATTATTATAAATTATATTTTTTATTTTTTTATTATTTTTTAGTTTTATTTTTTATTTTTTTTTTTTAGATATATTTATATTTATATATTTATTTTATTATTTGATTTTATATTATATATATTTTTATTTATATGGGGGGTGTATATGATATATATATATATATTATATATATATATGGGGGTTTTTTTTATTTTTTTATATATTTTTTTTTTTAGTTTTATATATATATATGGGGGGGTTGTTATAGTGATATTTTTTTATATATGGGGGGTTTTTAGTGATTTTATATATTTTTTTTTATATTTTTTTTATATTTGATTTTTTTAATTATATGGGGGGTTTTAGTTTTTTTTTTATTTTATTTTATATTTTAATAGTTTATTATAATTATATAGTTTTATATTATATAATAATTTGTGTTTTTAGTATATTTATATTTTTATATATATTATATATATAATTTTACACAAAAATATATATATATATATATATATATTATTACACCCCCCATATATATTTATTATATATATCACTTTATACCCCCATAATTTATTATATTATATATTATCACTATACACCCCCATTGTTTTTTTTTTATTTATATATATTATATTTTGGATTTGGGTGTATAGTGATTTATATATATTTATATATTTTTTATATATGGGGGGATTTTTTATAGTGATATATTATATTTTATATATGGGGGGTTATTGTTATAGTGATGTTATATATTTTTATGGGGGGTTTATAGTTAAATATATATTATATTATTTTGGGGTTTTTATAGTTTTATTATATATATATGGGGGGGTGTATAGTGATTGTATATATATATGGGGGGGTGTATATTTATATATATATATATGGGGGGTGTATAGTGATATATATATATGGGGGGTGTATAGTGATATATATATATATGGGGGGTGTATTTAGTGATATATATATATATGGGGGGGTTTTATAGTGATATATATATATATGGGGGGTGTTATAGTGATATATATATATATTATGGGGGGTGTATAGTGATATTTATATGGGGGGTGAATAAGGAGAATATACATATTTTGGGGGGGGGCGGTCCGTCCAGCACCGGGGTCCCGGTCTCACCTTCTCCTCCTCGGACGGGACTCCGCTCCTCACGTATCCGTTCTTCAGTCCGCCGTGCTCGCTCTTGCAGACGCCGTTCATGGCCGCCTTGTAGTTGCTGTGGCCCCCGGGGCCCTCCACCGTATTACACCTCGGCATCTTCGTCCCGTCTCCGCTCTGTCAGCACCGCCACGCCCAGCCGCCCCCATACCGGAACTCAGCGCCGTCGTCTCCTCCAATCGCAGGCCGACACGTCAGAAGGGCGGGGCCGAGTCCGAAACCACATCAGACGCCCAATCGTGGTACGAGAGGGGAGGAGCGTAGCAGGGAGCGACCGAGGGTGACGTCACCAAACACATCAAGCCGCACGTGTTCGAACGCTAGTAACCTTGAGTGGTGGGCGGGGCCGAGCGGGAAGTGAGCCGTAATGTCAACAGCGCCTGAGAGGCTCGGGTCACGTGATCAGGCTTAACCTGGCGGGCCGGAGTCACATGGCCGGGGAGAGTGACATCACAATCCCTGACGTTCCCTGGGTGGGGTGTAGAAATATCGCTGTACAGTGACAGGAAGGAATGTGATTGGGTGGATGGCAGTCATGTGACCTTCACAGACCCCTGGGTGGTACTAAAGGGAGTGTTTCCGTTGTTATTAATAGGAAATTGACCATAAGGCTGGACAAGATGGCAACCACCAGCGGGTTGGGAGCCATGTGACCCCCATGGCATTTTTACCTAGGGGTCGTGTGTTGTGAAATTATAATCATGTGACCCTATGCAACCTTTCATATAGGGGTCATGTGACCGTCACCACCTGTTACCTTAGAAACGGGGGTCATGTGACCTAGAACTGAAGCGGGTGGTGTCATGTGAATTTGTGGAACAATTACCTGAAGACTGCATGTCATGTGACTGGGAAAAAATTATGATCTCAGGACTGTAACCCAAAGGGCCGAGTGTTATGTGACCCCATGCAACCATTTACGTCCATCTGTTATTTTAAGGGCGGGTGATGTGACCTCATAGAACCTTTACCTGAGGGTCGGGTGTCATGTGACCTCATAGAACCTTTACGTGCGGGTCGGGTATCGTGTGACCTCATAGAACCTTTACCTGAGGGTCGGGTCGGGTCGTGTGACCTCAGAACCTTTACCTGAGGGTCCGGTGTCATGTGACCTCATAGAACCTTTACCTGAGGGTCGAGTGTCGTGACCTCATAGAACCTTTACGTGAGGGTCGGGTGTCATGTGCCCTCATAGAACCTTTACCTAAGGGTTGGGTGTCGTGCCCTCATAGAACCTTTACCTTTGGGTCGAGTGTCGTGACCTCATAGAACCTTTACCTGAGGGTCGGGTGATGTGACCTCATAGAACCTTTACGTGAGGGTTGGGTGTCATGTGACCTCATAGAACCTTTACGTGAGGGTCGGGTGTCATGTGACCTCATAGAACCTTTACCTGAGGGTCAGGTGTCATATGACCTCATAGAACCTTTACCTGAGGGTCAGGTGTCATATGACCTCATAGAACCTTTACCTGAGGGTTGGGTGTCATGTGACCTCATAGAACCTTTACCTGAGGGTTGGGTGTCATGTGACCTCATAGAACCTTTACCTGAGGGTCAGGTGTCATGTGAACTCATTAGTTGCCTGAGGGGTGGATGTCCTGTAAACACATAAAAACCTTTACCTGAAGGTTGTGTGTCGTGACCTCAAAGAACCTTTACCTGAGGGTTGGGTGCAGGGGTGGACTGACAACTCATGGGGCCCCCAGGCAATAGGGAATCATGGGGCCTCTGTGTCCTTGCCCAAACTCAAAAAAGCCTATAAAAAAGGTACCAGGGGCATCTCATGGGGCCCCCTACTGACCCGGGCCCTCGGGCACTGCCCGAGTTTCCAAATGGTCAGTCCGCCCCTGGTTGGGTGTCATGTGACCTCAAAGAACCTTTTCCTGAGGGTTGGGTGTCATGTGACCTCAAAGAACCTTTACCTGAGGGTCAGGTGTCATATGACCTCATAGAACCTTTACCTGTGGTTCAGGTGTCATGTGACCTCATAGAACCTTTACCTGAGGGTCAGGTGTCATATGACCTCATAAAACCTTTACCTGTGGGTCAGGTGTCATGTGACCTCATAGAACCTTTACTTGAGGGTTGGATGTCGTGTGACCTCATAGAACCTTTACCTGAGGGTCAGGTGTCATATGACCTCATAGAACCTTTACCTGTGGGTCAGGTGTCATGTGACCTCATAGAGCCTTTACTTGAGGGTTGGATGTCATGTGACCTCATACAACTTTTACCTGAGGGTCAGGTGTTATGTGACCTCATAGAACCTTTACCTAAGGGCAGGTGTCATATGACCTTGTCCATCTGTTACTTAAGGTTTGAGTGTCATATGACCTCAAAGAACCCCCAATCTGAGGGTTGGGTGTCATGTGACCTCAACCATCTGTTACTTAAGGGGTGGGTGTCATCTGACCTCATAGAACCGTTACCTGAGGGCCAGGTGTCATGTCACCTCATTAATCAGTGGGGTGGGTGTCCTGTAAACTCAGAACCATTATCTGGGAGTTGGGTGTCATGTGACCTCATAGAACCCCTATCTTAGGGACCGGTGTTATGTGACCTCATAGAACGCCTATCTTAGGGACCGGTGTTATGTGACCTCATAGAACCCCTATCTTAGGGACTGGTGTTATGTGACCTCATAGAACCGATGTTTGGTGGTCAGGTGTCATATGACCTTATAGAGCTATTATAAGAGTGCCAGTGGTCATGTGAACTTATTAATCCTTTACCTATAGGTAGACATGCGGTTCATTTATTGCAAATCAAAATTCGAAGTAAATTTTCATTATTCGGAGATTCAGATGTATCCGAATTTTCCAATGACAATAGTAACGAATTTAAACAAACCCGAAATAATGAAACAAAATTTGAATCGAATTCCAAAAAAAATTCTAAATGTAAGCATATTGCTGACTATTGCTGTTTTTCTTCAAAGACTGTGTGTTTTACAATATAGACGTCTTCCAATATTTGAATTTCAAAAAGAATAGAGTCAAATAAAACAAAAAGAAAAAAATAATAGAATAGAAAAAAAAATAGAATAGGTTACAGTAGAATAAAATAGAAAGAATATAGCCATCTTCCAAAATTAAAATTTGGAAAAGAATAGAAAAAAATAATAGAATAAAATAGAAAATAAAGAAGTAGAATAGAAAAGATTAGAACAGAAAACAATAGAATAGCAAAAGTATAATAGAGTTGAATAAAAATAGAAAGAATATAGCTGTCTTCCAAAACTTGCATGTCGAAAAAAAAAATAATTACAATATAAAAGAATGGAAAAAAAAAAATAAAAAAATAGAATAGAAATAGAAAAAATAGAATAGAAATAATAAAGCCGTCTTCTGAAATTTGAATTAAGAATAGAATTAAACAGAATAGAAAAGAATAGAATAGAAAATAAAGGAATAAAATAAAATGAATATAGCTGTCTTCCGATATTTGAATTTAAAAAAAAAGAATGAATAGAATAAAACAGAGTAGAAAATAAAAGAATAGAATAGAAACCATTGATTAGAATAGAATAAAACAGATATAATAAAGTAGAATAGAAAATAAAAGAATAGAAAAAAATATAATAGATTTGAATGCCGTCTTCTGAAATTCGAATTTCGAGTAGATTAGAACCAGCTGTTCTTCACAATTAATTCAGATTGGATATTTTCGATTACCAAACTAAACAAATTTCATTATGCATGCAATGAAACAAAATTAGTAACTTAACAAATCGATACAAATTTTTGTGCACATGCCTACCTGTAGGGTCAAGTGTCATGTGACCTCATAGAACCTTTAATGGAGGGTTGGGTGTCATGTGACCTTATGTGATGATGACAGGTGGTCCAGTGTCCCTCTCAGGTTGACTTGGTGTTGATGACCCTCCTGGACTCTGTAGACCACCAGAGGTCTCCAAACTTTCTAAACAAAGGGCCGGTTTACTGTCCTTCAGACTTTAGGAGGGTCAGAGGGCCTAGTGGGAGTAGAAAATGTCCCAGCGTCAGTAGGAGTAAAAAAATGTCATTGTGCTTGTAGTCAGTGGAAGGAGGAATAGTGTCCAGTCATTGGTGTCAGTGGGAAACAGTGCCCTATTATTGGTATTAGTGGGTTAGTGGGAGGAACAGTGCCCCATCATTGGTATTAGTGGGAGAAATAGTGCCCCATCATTGGTATTAAAGGGAGGAATAGTGCCCCATCATTGGTGTCAGTGGGAGGAATAGGGCCTCATCATTGGTATCAGTGGGAGGAATAGGGCCCCATCATTGGTATCAGTGGGAGGAATAGGGCCCCATCATTGGTGTCAGTGGGAGGAACAGTGCCCTATCATTGGTATTAGTGGGAGTAACAGTGCCCCATCATTGGTGTCAGTGGGGAGAATAGTGGCCCATCATTTTTATCAGAGGAAGGAATAGTGCCCCATCCTTGGCATTAGTTGGAGGAATAGTACCTAATTGTATATATATCAGTGGGTGGATTTGTGCCCCATCATTGGTGTCAGTGGAAGAAATGATGCCTCCTTGTTTGTGTGAGTGGGAGGAATAGTACCCCAAGTGCCGGATAGAGGCAAGCAGTTTGGAGACCACTGCTGTAGACCATCAGTCAGGAATACACTCCGGAGGGAAGTGCTGCTGTATGGTCCCAGAGTGACGGGGAGGTGATGGGGATATCCAATGAGATATTACTGTCCCAGCTATGGCAGAAATGGGAACCAGTGCAGACCTCCTACAATTGCTAGTTGCCTGGCTGCCATATTGATCTCCTGGCTGCAGTACTTTGAGTCGCTGACCTGGTGCAAGCAAGGGGCTTAGGGAAGTCAGACCTGCTCTGTATTCCTTGTCCTGGGTCAGTGAGTCAGAAAGCACGGACACGATTACCAGGACAGATCATAATGGCCAAGGTGAGGCAGTAATTCAATGCAGACTTTGCCTTCCTTTATCATTTCAGGTGTGCCAGCACAGACTGACGTCACCAGATACCGACACGTCTGATGACGTCAGCGCAGGTAAGGGTTTCTGATGGCTGTAAGTGGGATCCTCCCATAGATACACAATTCTAGGTCCATGGGAGGGGTGGGTGGACCCGGAATTCAGCCACATA